GTGCCAGTGCCTCGCGCCGCAGAACTTGCAGTTGGACGGCGGAAGAGGTGCATTCCATGCACCTGGGCGTCGGGGTGTGCTGTGATACGGGTACGGCATGGCGGTGGATGACTCCTCGGTGGTCGGTGTCCGGTCTCGGTGACACTTGCCTGGGGTGGTGGCACGTGCGTCGGCTGCCGCGCTCATCTCGCCTTTCGGTCGGCGGGGGGTGTGGGCTGCTCCGGGGGTGGCGCTACGGAACGTCGTTTGTAGTTGAGTGGACCTTGCTCCTTGAAGTGCGGCGGTCAGCTGCAAAATTATTGTCGCCAGGGTGTGTTTTGTCGCTTCGCTCGTTGCCAGTTTCTTCCCTCTTTCTTTCGTAGGGTTGTCCGTTTTTACGCCTATGGGATCCTGATTAAGCTCCATAATATCTTTTTCCTGTCGACTCTATGTAATATAATCCAAAGTTATTACACTGCAATATTTGATGTATTACACTGTTGTAGAATCCTGTCGACTTAACCGTTCTGTGACAATATCGTTGCGGAATTTCTTGTTGTTTGGTTTGAGTGGTGAGGATTGGTTGAAACGCAGTCGTTGAGTGGCAAGTGAAGCATACAGTTAGGAATAATCAGGACACGTGATGGGGTTTGAAAATAAAAGGCAATTGGGTTGGAGGAAAGAAAGCTTGAGAAGGCGGAGCGAGTTTTGATTGTTAATTATCTGATCACATGGTGGTGATTGTACTTAGCTGCGGGATGAGCAGAGGGAGAGGGGTCCAGAGCCGATGTCACCTTGTTGGAAGCCAAATCACTTCTGATCCGAACTCGGTGGGAGCCAAGTCGCTACTCTAGGTGTTGTTCCTATGAGAGCCAAAACGTACTGACTATTCTTGCTTTTCGATTTAACACCACGAGTTGTCTTCCTTCCCATTGGTCGAAGGCTGGAACGTGCCCGTTTTTCTATTGGTTGACCTACTTAGTTATTCCTTCCTAATTGGACCGGCGGCTTTCTTTGGTGAAAGATATGCCCGGCCTGATAGGAAGTATCGGGTGTTAGTTCGACTCTATTTACTTCCGCGTTATCAAATACGTCCGGTCTTGTCCGGAAATATTGGGCGTCTCTATACTAATATAACTTCTGCGGATACTAGATACGTCCGGGCTTGCCAGGAAGTATTGACTGTACAAGTTATTTATACTTGTGCCCGCTTTTAGCCTGCTTCCTATGTCTTGTTGCCACTTTCTTTCCTCCAGTTACCTTATTCTTTATTAAATCTTTGAAAATCATACATTGTACATGCATAGTGGGTCGGGGGGCATACAATTATATACAAATTATGACATATATATAAACTGAATGTATGTGTGTGTGTGTGTCCTTTATGCCTGACCAAATCACTCATTGGAACGCCATGAAACTTTGGGAAGTTATTTAGTCTAGTACTGTAAAGGTTTCTAGCAAATAAAATTTTTGAAATAACTTTTCGCCTAAAAATAATCAAGATAAATATTCTAATTTATCTGTTATAATTCAACAATCTGCTCTAAATATTATCATGATGATACGATGATTTTGTGATAATGATTTAGGAACGACAAAATTCAGGATGACACGGCAATTTATTTGAGACAAGAATAATGATACAATTCCAAGGCAAGATGCTATTCCTTTAACTTCCAATTACCGAGGGAACCAATTAATATTGATTTTATTCAACTTATCGAGTATTTTTCAAGGGACCGGGAAAAAATGTTCACTTTATCGAGAGATTCGTTAGACAAACCTTTACTTGGGTAAAACCCGGGCGAAGCCGGGTACATCCGCTAGTTAATATATATAATTCATTGAGAAAAAAAGAAATAGTTAATTATCAAATTCACAAAAGTGACAATATCTTATTTAAAATATAATAAATGTTTTCAAAAAATTATGTGTTTCAAAAATATATTTAAACGCATATAACAATTATTATATTTATATACGTTTATAAATCAATATATAGGTGGATTGGATGTTTTCTAGAATCGTTTTAACAAATGTTCGTTAGGCAAACTTTTATTCGGATAAAAACCGGGCGAAGCCGGGTACATTCGCTAAATACAGTTATTTACAAATCTTCGTTTGTGGCAAGATACTATTCCTTCAACTTCAAAATACCGAGTGGACCAATTAATACTGATTTTTTTTCAACCTATCGAGTATTTTTCAAGGGACCGGGAAAATTTTCAAATTATAGAGAGTATAGACACGTATAGATTCAATAGGGATTGGTTGTTTGCTAGAATCGTTTTAACCAATGTTTGTAAGGCAAACTTTTACTCGGGTAAAAACCGGGCGAAGCCGGGAACATATATATATATATGTTTGTCGGCTATGCACGCCCTGAATATGTAACTAATCTCGCTGAAATTTGAACAGGACAGAGAGTAAAATCTGAAAGAGTTTTTTGTCGCACTTTTAACCAAGAACAATTATAATTAACCAAGTACTGAGCAACAATATTTTTTTAGTCAGAAATGATAATGACAATATTGCTGTATCATGCTCGATTGACATAAACAAAATTCTTTAGGGGAATATTCACTAAAGCAGTCCACAGGCGGAGCCAGATAATAATTTTAGTAGGCAGGAACAAAATTCTACCAGCGAAACATTCACTCGAGCAGAAGACACACGAAGCCAGGTCATCTCTATATATAAAACTAGACGAATGACCCGGGCAACGCCCGGGTTTACCCGATTAAATGTTCTATTCAAACACTATACAAAACTGTGCGCGCACACAGGGAAGTCACGTGCTCGCCGGCGGCGCACAGGGAAGTCACGTGCTCGCCGGCAGCCAAGGTCGGTGGGAACTTGGACTGTCCAACCGGCCGGCAGCCGGACGATTACATTTTCTCGGAGGGGGGGGGGGGCAGGGAAGTCACGTGCTCGCCGGCAGCCAATGGGCGCGCGCCGCCGTCAGATCGCCCGCGTTCTAGAGGGCGCTGCTCGTGAGCTAAGTTGAATAATTTGAATATATAGTTTTAATAATTGATTTATATATTTTTTAAAATAGCCTATCTTCATCCCCGTTATTTTTGACCTATGTATGGAAATTTTGGTTTGAATTAGTGAACTACTGGGAATTTGTATACAGATCATACAAACAGACAGACAAACATACAAACATTCATTTTTATATATATAGATATCGTTTCTCGGCCTTTTGGCTAAGATCATATAGTATATCTCTAGATATATTTTTTTATATATATATTTTAAAAATCTATTCAGTAGAGAGAGAGGATATGTTTGCTCGAAAATATATTTTATATCTTCTATCTTCTTCTATATATATATAAAAATGAATGTATGTGTGTGTGTCTGTTTGTTTGTCCTTTATGCCTGACCAAACCACTCATTGGAACGCCATGAAACTTTGGGAAGTTATTTAGTATAGTACTGGGAAGGTTTCTACCAAATAAAATTTTTGAAATAACTTTTCGCTTTAAATTAATCAAGATAAATATTCTAATTTATCTGTTATAATTCAACAATCTGCTCTAAATATTATCATGATGATACGATGATTTTGTAATGTAGAAAATTAGGAAAGACAAAATTCAGGATGACACGGCAATTTATTTGAGACAAGAATAATGATACAATTCCAAGGCAAGATACTATTCCTTTAACTTCCAATTACCGAGGGAACCAATTAATAATGATTTTATTCAACTTATCGAGTATTTTTCAAGGGACCGGGAAAAAATGTTCACTTTATCGAGAGATTCGTTAGACAAACCTTTACTCAGGTAAAACCCGGGCGAAGCCGGGTACGTCCATACAAGAATAATGATACAGTTCCAAGGCAAGATACTATTCCTTTAACTTCCAATCACCGAGGGAACCAATTAATATTGATTTTATTCAACTTATCGAGTATTTTTAAAGGGACGGGGAAAAAATGTTCACTTTATCGAGAGATTCGTTAGACAAACCTTTACTCGGGTAAAACCCGGGCGAAGCCGGGTACGTCCGCTAGTATTATATAAATATATAATGTAACGAATATTATTATCATTATTATCATAATATTCTGTGTGTTTCGGAATATTATTATCAATAATATTCGTTAGGCAAACTTTCACTCGGATAAAACCCGGGCGAAGCCGGGTACACATTCGCTAGTATAGTAATATAAATTTCTCTCAATACTCAAAACTTTTGTAAAAAAAAAGTAACAATCCTATAAAAAGATATTTTAAAAAAGTACGCAAGCAACTTGAAAAAAATGCAGAACGCTCATTGGTCTCTTAATTGACCTGGTGTTTTTACTTCGCCTCGTATTTACTTCGCGTAAAAAAAAGTTCTTCAAATGAAAAAAATAAATAGCCAAAAATACTAATCAAAATGTAGCCGAAAATTTTCCTCAGGTTTATAAAAAGCGACATGCAAAATTTGGTACCAATTGGTTCAGTAGTTTTTGAGTTTATCGCCAAACAGACAACAGGTTGAGATTTATAATTCACTAGCCGAATTACCCGGGTTTTACCCGATAACACTCTCCCCGAGTGCGTATATATATACTAGCCGAATGACCCGGGCAACGCCCGTGTTTTACCCGATTGAATGTTTTGATTCAAATACTATTTGTTACAATTATAAATTGGCGCCTTAAATCAAGCATGTCAAACTCGCGGCCCGCGGGCCTCATGCGGCCCACAACGAATAAATTTGCGGCCCACCAGACAATATATTTTAATTTAAAAAAATTTATAATTTAAAAAAATAATAAGAAGAAGAATTTGTAGCCTTATATATATTTTTAAAAATTGTAATTATACACTAGACGAATGGCCCGGGCAACGCCCGGGTTTTACCCGAGTGCGTATATATTTTTAAAATGTTTTAATTAAAATACTATTCGTTACAATTATAAATTGGCGCCGTGGATGCCTCTCTTGTGAAACGTCCCGCCCCAAACTGTGTGTGTCTTGAAAATATAAAAATAAAAATGTGAACGGAAAAAATATGTCCAGGGTAGCCTAGTGGTCATGGCATCTGCCCGGTAAGCGGAAGGTCGTGGGTTCGGATCCCATCCCTTGACACTTTTTTATTTTATCCATTCTGACCAAAATCTATCCGTGAACTTCACACAGTGAACTTCACACAGAGAGAATAAGGCAATTATATAAGTAGATAATCCAAATTGTGCCTTATCACACACTATTTTTTTATTTGGCCTTATTACCTTGTGTTTATAATCTATGACGTAATGCCGGCGGCGCGCGCCCGTTGGCTGCCGGCGAACACGTGACCTCCCTGTGCGCGCGCATCCGTGACAGAACCGGCCGCCCATGACGGTCGTGACTATATATGTTGATAATAATAATAATATAATAATAATAATAATTATTATTATTATTATCATTAGATAATGATAATGATCATGATGATGATGCGCGCGCATCCGTGACAGAACCGGCCGGCCCATGACGGTCGTGACTATATATGTTGACGAATGACCCGGGCAACGCCCGTGTTTTACCCGAATGAATGTTTTTTATTCCAATACTATTTGTTACAATTATAAATTGGAGCCGTGGATGTCACTCTTGTGAAACGTCCCGCTCCAAACTTTACATGTACATTAGGTCAGCTGGTATTACCCCTCATTTTCACCGCTAGAGGCGCGAGCGAATTGACTTTTTGTAAATATACATAATTATAAAGATAGAAGCTTCTATAGAAGATAATGATCATAATGATGATGCGCGCGCATCCGTGACAGCGATGAGGAATTGAGGAAAGACGGTCGTGACTATATATGTTGACGAATGACCCGGGCAACGCCCGGGTTTTACCCGATTAAATGTTTTTATTCAAATACTATTTGTTACAATTATAAATTGGCGCCGTGGATGTCACACTAGTGAAACGTCCCGCTGCAAACTTTGTGTCTGAGAAGCGATATTTTTATAGAAAGATGATCTGGCTTTTGTTTTCTGCTCGAATGAATCTTTTTCTGTTAGAATTTTGTTCCTGCGTACAAAATAATGAACTGGTTTCACCCGTGGTCTCTGCTTTTTGGAATTTTTCCCGATATAATTTTGTATCTGATAATCAAACATGATACAGCAATATCGTCATAATCATTTTCTGACTAAAAATATATAGTCTTAATAATTGATTTATATATATTTTTAAATAGCCTATCGTCTTCCCCGTATTTTTTACCTATGTATGGAAATTTTGGTTTGAATTAGTGAACTACTGCGAATTTGTATATCGGACATACAAACAAACATACGAACAGACAAACATACAAACATTTATTTTTATATATATAGAGATTTACTCTTCATTGTTGGCTTTTTATATTATATTTACTCTTCATTGTTGGCTTTTTATCTTACATTCACTCTGTTGGCTTTTTATATTACATTTACTCTTCATTGTTGGCTTTTTATCTTACATTCACTCTTCATTGTTGGCTTTTTATATTATATTTACTCTTCATTGTTGGCTTTTTATCTTACATTCATTCTTCATTGTTGGCTTTTTATATTACATTCACTCTTCATTGTTGGGTTTTTTCTTACATTCACTCTGTTGGCTTTTTATATTACATTTACTCTTCATTGTTGACTTTTTATCTTACATTCACTCTTCATTGTTGGCTTTTTATATTATATTTACTCTTCATTGTTGGCTTTTTATCTTACATTCATTCTTCATTGTTGGCTTTTTATATTACATTTACTATTCATTGTTGGCTTTTTATCTAACAATTCACTCTTCATTGTTGGCTTTTTACCTTACATTCATTCTTCATTGTTGGCTTTTTATATTACATTTACTCTTCATTGTTGGCTTTTTATCTTACATTCACTCTTCATTGTTGGCTTTTTATATTATATTTAAAATTTTACACAAATAAATTTACCGGCAATGCGTTTCTTTTTTAAATCTCTACAGACCTTACTGCAATGATATGATTTAATGAATGAGAGGGCTTGGCTCATCAGTAGTGAACCCTCTCAGCGGTTTCGCCAAATTAATCTCTAGACCGCTCTACTATTGTATTGGACTGGTTTTGTTATATACCCTGCATTTTCTATGGAAGGCAGCTAAATGGTGTTTAGTGAACTATGGACATAAGCTTATAGGTCTGTAGAGGTACATACATATAAATTTCAAGGTATTGCATCGAGCAAAGCTCTTCCGCGCAAAACATGTTTTCATAACCATTATATATTAGTAATGAATGAGAGGGCTTGGCTCATCAGTAGTGAACCCTCTCAGCGGTTTCGCCAAATTAATCTCTAGACCGCTCTACTATTGTATTGGACTGGTTTTGTTATATACCCTGCATTTTCTATGGAAGGCAGCTAAATGGTGTTTAGTGAACTATGGACATAAGCTTATAGGTCTGTAGAGGTACATACATATAAATTTCAAGGTATAGCAAGAGAATATGCAGCAATAATTGCAGTGTATATTAGTGCAGCGTTTGATAATGCATGGTGGCCGGCCCTGATGAAAAGACTAGATGAAGATGGTGTGCAGGCTTCAATGATAAAACTTCTACAATCATACTTTGATAATAGAAGAATAAGATTAAGATATTCCTCAACTGAAATTAATAAGAAACTAAGTAAAGGATGTCCACAGGGAGGACCACTGTCTCCCACATTATGGAATATTCTTATTAATGAGATACTGAATAATAATCTGGATGATAATTGTGAAACAATAGGATATGCAGATGATATTACGTTAATATGTTGGAATAAAACTCCTGAACAACTAAGAAAGACAATAGATAATGTATTAAGAAAAATCAATAAGTGGTGTGAAAGTCGTAAATTAAAATTGTCAGATGAAAAAACAAAAATATTATATTTATATAAATGCAATAGCGATATAATAGTCTCAGGTAGCAAGTTAATTAAACCGGTTGAAGAACTTAAGATTCTAGGAGTAACTATTAAAAATCACCGAGTCAGAAGCAAACTGGACTTTACGCCTCATGTTAATGAAATGATCATAAAGGTAACTAGAGCTAGTGGATACCTATTTGGCCTGACAAAGAAAGCATGGGGTCTGGACTTTAGACGAAGACTGATATTGTATAAGACATTATATCGAAGTACAATTACTTATGGTTATCCAATATGGTATCCATTCATAAACAAAAAGTCTAAAGACAAACTTAATTCTCTTCAATATAGTATTTTAAAACATTGTATACAGGCATACAGTACAACATCATCGGATTGTACACACATACTTGCACAAGTCCCCAAACTTACTGATTATATTGAATCTAACATGTTGAAAACCGAAATAAATTACAACCGATTTGACTCTTCAAGTAGGAATATAATTTCTAATTACATAAGGGAAAAATTGCAGAAATACTATGAGAAGACTAATACCATTTTCAAGTCCTTCTTCACTGATTCCCAAATACCCAAATATGTCAAGCCAAACTTTTACAATGTCCAATTTTTTACTGGACACGGTAACTTTAGATCATATTTGTACAAAGTCAGAAAGACGGATTCACCTAAATGCTCATGTGGTGCAGAAGAAGAAAATCCTGTACATATTTTAACGGACTGTCGACTTGTAGAGGACTTGAGAGTCAAAAATCAAATAAATATAAATTGTCTAAATCAAATAGTTAATAATAGATATATGTATATAAATTTTAATAGATTTTGTAGAATGTTTTTTAGTAATAGATAGCCTGGGCTGTAATATAGTTATATGCTGTAAATAGCTCTAAATTTCTGTTCTTATGTGATGTTCACTAATATTCATTATAGTGTAATTAAATCGTTAACTAACTGACAAATATGTTAATAATTTCTATTATAATAACTAATTTCCTATTAATAATCACTGTAAATAAGCTCCCAAACTTGTGTATGCATGCAAATATCCAAGACGGATATCGCGTGCTTTGTAAATGATAATAAATAAATATATTAGTAAATTAAATTTTATTGCCCTCTATCGTTAAAATTTTACACAAATAAATTTACCAGCAATGCGTTTCTTTTTTAAATCTCTACAGACCTTACAATAAAATTTAATTTACTAATATATTATATTTACTCTTCATTTTGTTGGCTTTTTATCTTACATTTATTCTTCATTGTTGGCTTTTTATATTACATTTACTCTTCATTGTTGGCTTTTTATCTTACATTCATTCTTCATTGTTGGCTTTTTATATCATATTTACTCTTCATTGTTGGCTTTTTATCTTACATTCATTCTTCATTTTTGGCTTTTTATATTATATTTACTCTTCATTGTTGGCTTTTTATCTTACATTTATTCTTCATTGTTGGCTTTTTATATTATATTTACTCTTCATTGTTGGCTTTTTATCTTACATTTATTCTTCATTGTTGGCTTTTTATATTACATTTACTCTTTATTGTTGGCTTTTTATCTTACATTCATTCTTCATTGTTGGCTTTTTATATCATATTTACTCTTCATTGTTTGCTTTTTATCTTACATTCATTCTTCATTGTTGGCTTTTTATATTATACTAATGATGATGCACGCGCATCCGTGACAGAACCGGCCCATGGCGGTCGTGACTATATATAGGGATAATAATAATAATAATATAATAATAATAATAATTATTATTATTATTATTATTATTATTATTTAAACAAAATAAACAAGACAGAAGAGGAGCTTCTTAAATTTAATAATCGCGAGCTTTCGGACCGTGACGTCCTTCAACTGGCTATAGAATGAAAGTGTGAACGACTATATATATATATAGAGCTAAGAAATACTAATTTACATATTGGAATTTAAAAGTATACAACTGAATTAACATACTGCAGAGATCAACCAAGATTGCATATTTACATGTGAATTAAAATATAACGACGTATACTATTGTGATTATGAGGGATAAGAAAGAAAGAAAGTAACTATGAATTTTTGATGTTGAAGGCATGATGACGGGAAGGATTTGGATAAGGTACTATTTCAACAGAATATGGTATGAGTCAGGTATATCGATATGTCTGTTGATACTATTGCATTGTAATGATATCATGGCCTCCAG